CACCAGACGGGCTGCGGCATTCTGGATGAGTTGTAGGGGTTTAATGGCACAGGCAGGGAGCCCAGCCAACAGTGAGTTGCAGTAATCCAGACGGGAGATGACAAGTGCCTGGATTAGGACCTGTGCCGCTTCCTGTGTAAGGCAGGGTCGTACTCTCCGAATGTTGTAGAGCATGAACCTGCAGGATTGGGTCACCGCCTTGATGTTAGCGGAGAACGACAGGGTGTTGTCCAGGGTCACGCCAAGGCTCTTCGCACTCTGGGAGGAGGACACAACGGAGTTGTCAACCGTGATGGCGAGATCATGGAACGGGCAGTCCTTCCCCGGGAGGAAGAGCAGCTCCGTCTTGCCAGGGTTCAGCTTGAGGTGGTGATCCGTCATCCATACTGATATGTCTGCCAGACATGCAGAGATGCGATTCGCCACCTGGTTATCAGAAGGGGGAAAGGAGAAGATTAGTTGTGTATCGTCAGCGTAGCAATGATAGGAGAGGCCATGTGAGGATATGACAGAGCCAAGTGACTTGGTGTATAGGGAGAATAGGAGAGGGCCTAGAACTGAGCCCTGGGGGACACCAGTGGTGAGAGCACGTGGTGCGGAGACAGCTTCTCGCCACGCCACTTGGTAGGAGCGACCGGTCAGGTAGGACGCAATCCAGGAGTGAGCTGCGCCGGAGATGCCCAGCTCGGAGAGGGTGGAGAGGAGGATCGGATGGTTCACAGTATCAAAGGCAGCAGACAGGTCTAGAAGGACAAGAGCAGAGGAGAGAGAGTTAGCTTTAGCAGTGCGGAGAGCCTCCGTGACACAGAGAAGAGCAGTCTCAGTTGAATGACCAGTCCTGAAACCTGACTGGTTTGGATCAAGGTCATTCTGAGAGAGATAGCAAGAGAGTTGGCTAAAGACGGCACGCTCAATAGTTTTGGAACGAAAAGAAAGAAGGGATACTGGTGTGTAGTTGTTGACATAGGAGGGATCGAGTGTTGGTTTTTTGAGAAGGGGTGCAACTCTCGCTCTCTTGAAGACGGAAGGGACATAGCCAGCGGTCAAGGATGAGTTGATCAGCGAGGTGAGGTAGGGGAGAAGGTCACCGGAGATGGTCTGGAGAAGAGAGGAGGGGATGGGGTCAAGCGGGCAGGTTGTTGGGCGGCCTGCAGTCACAAGTCGCAAGATTTTATCTGGAGAGAGAGGGGAGAAAGAAGTCAAAGCATAGGGTAGGGCAGTGTGAGCAGGACCAGCAGTGTCATTAGACTTAACAAACGAGGATCGGATGTCGTCAACCTTCTTTTCAAAGTGGATTCAGCAGTGAAGAGAATGTGGCAAAGAGCTTCCTAGGGTTAGAGGCAGATGCTTGGAATTTAGAGTGGTAGAAAGTGGCCTTAGCAGCAGAAACAGATGAAGAAAATGTAGAGAGGAGGGAGTGAAAAGATGCCAGGTCGGCAGGGAGTTTAGTTTTCTTCCATTTCCGCTCAGCTGCCCGGAGCTCTGTTCTGTGAGCTCGAAATGAGTCATCAAGCCACGAAGCTGGAGGGGAGGACCGAGCCGGCCGGGAGGATAGGGGACACAGGGAGTCAAAGGATGCAGAAAGGGAGGAGAGGAGGGTTGAGGAGGCAGAATCAGGAGATTGGAGGGAGAAGGATTGAGCAGAGGGAAGAGATGATAGGATGGAAGAGGAGAGAGTAGTGGGAGAGAGAGAGCGAAGGTTGCGGCGGCGCATTACCATCTGTGTAGGGGCAGAGTGAGTAGTGTTGGAGGAGAGCGAGAGAGAAAAGGATACAAAGTAGTGGTCGGAGACATGGAGGGGAGTTGCATTGAGATTAGTAGAAGAGCAGCATCTAGTAAAGATGAGGTCAAGCGTATTGCCTGCCTTGTGAGTAGGGGGGGACGGTGAGAGGGTGAGGTCAAAAGAGGAGAGGAGTGGAAAGAAGGAGGCAGAGAGAAATGAGTCAAATGTAGACGTAGGGAGGTTGAAATCCCCCAAAACTGTGAGGGGTGAGCCATCCTCAGGAAAGGAACTTATCAAGGCGTCAAGCTCATTGATGAACTCTCCAAGGGAACCTGGAGGGCGATAGATGACAAGGATATTAAGCTTAAATGGGCTAGTGACTGTGACAGCATGGAATTCAAATGAGGAGATAGACAGATGGGTTAGGGGAAAAATTGAGAATGACCACTTGGGAGAGATGAGGATTCCTGTGCCACCACCCCTCTGACCAGATGCTCTCGGGGTATGCGAGAACACATGGTCAGACGAGGAGAGAGCAGTAGGAGTAGCAGTGTTTTCAGTGGTAATCCATGTTTCCGTCAGCGCCAGGAAGTCGAGGGACTGGAGGGTAGCATTGGCTGGGATGAAGTCAGCCTTGTTGGCAGCAGAACGGCAGTTCCAGAGGCTGCCTGAGACCTGGAACTCCAGGTGTGTGGTGCGTGTAGGAACCACCAGGTTAGAGAGGCAGCAGCCACGCGGTGTGAGGCGTTTGTGTAGCCTGTGCGGAGAGGAGAGAACAGGGATAGGCAGAGGCATAGTTGACAGGCTGTAGCAGATGGCTACTATAATGCAGAGGAGATCGGAATGAAATGAACTAAACATCTGGAAAAGGAGAGAGCAGGGCCTCTCACACCAAAAAACTCCCAAATATAACTCTCCCAACTTCCACCTCAGAAACTATAATTGTTTCACTGAACCACCCGAATAAAACTCTCCCAACTTCCACTTTAGAAATTAGAATTGTTGTAAACTACAGCGGTTCAATGTTTCAAGGAATAGACTCAACTTACTTTATTCAGCTAGCTAACTATGACGCCATAGCTAACTAGCATGCTAGCATCCAATAACACACAGTTTAGCACCAATACTTGGTTACACCAAACTACCAATAGTGTGTTAACACACTAAACAGATAATTCGTGTCCGTGTCTAGTTCCTTTCATAACGCAGCAATAATTAAACGTTGGCTAGCTAGCACAAAGATATTGTATTTAGCTGCTACAGTACAGCTAGCTGGTAGTGTTGGCTAGCTAGCAATGGCTGCTGTGTTGACTTTGTTTGAAAAACGGCGTCACTGCGAACAAATGTAGCTGGCTAAAAGGATATTGTATTTAGTTGCTACCGTTGCTAATAGCTACTCGCCAGCTAGTCCAGGAGGTGAGTTAGCTAGCTAGCTTCGTGCTACACCCGGCACCGCCGAATACAATACTAACCTACAATAACTACATACAACAACTACCCACAACAACCCACGATGCCTAGCTACAATACCCAACTACAATCTAAATACATAGTTTAAGCCTTACTCAACAAAGCCCAAGCTATGCATAAAGCCAAACTTACCCGACGCCAGCTGTCTGGGTGGCAGACAAGAAGACATTGGTCTTCTGCAATCAGTAGCTGTAATTAAGTACAGTAGCTACTAACTACCTAACGTTAATGCTTCAGATAATGAGGTTAGAAAAACAGCTGAATGGTAGGTAGCTAGCTGGCTTAATTACAGGTACTCTTAAGTGTGAAATAACATTGGAAACAACTATCCACAGTTGCTAAAAGTTACCAGTAGCTACCCGCTAGCTAGCTAGCTTTATGGGTCCAGGTAGTGGGTTAGCTAGCCTCGTGCTTCACCGGGCTCACTCGAATACAATACTTACCTACAATAATTACCTACAATAACTACCTACAATAACTACCTAAATAAACTACAATCTAAATACATGGTTTAAGCTTTACTACAGTTGCTAAAAGTTACCAGTAGCTACCCGCTAGCTAGCTAGCTTTATTGGTCCAGGTAGTGGGTTAGCTAGCCTCGTGCTTCACCGGGCTCACTCGAATACAATACTTACCTACAATAATTACCTACAATAGCTACCTAAATAAACTACCTACAATACCTAACTACAATACCTACCTACAATCTAAGTACATGGTTTAAGCTTTACTCAACACCATATAAGAAGCCAAGCTTACCTCCTGCTAGAGAAAACACAACCTCACCCGACGTGAAACACTGCGTCTTCAGAACAACAAATCTCGAATTACATGATTCATCTATTTTAGGCTCCATCTATTGATGAATTCCAATTCTGTACAGCATGACTCATTTGAATATATGCTATAACTTTTAAAAGGTTCAGATAACAAAACCCCAACTTTCAATCAATTCAATACTGTGTAACATTGCAACATTCTCCATCAACAACTTAAATATTAAAACATAATCACAGCATAATGACCCTTCTCCAATTAACCCTTTCAACTGATGCTTCCATTCAATTAAAATCTAAATAACGAGGGTGTGCCGACACGGTCTAACTACTTGACTACATTTAACAAGATGAAGATTAATGTTGACAATTTAAATTTCTTCCTCCATGACAATTTCCACTCCATTATGTTTACAAAACAAAGTTATACTTGCAGATTATAAAATGTACTTATGCACGCATTGTTTGTAGACAGTGTGTGTGAATGTTGTTTCTCCAATGTACCGGTCCACAACACTACACAGACCTCTCCTTACAACTCCATGAAGATTCCCTATCCATTTTCATCCTCTGGGACCTCAGCCATTTTTCGCATGATGACGTCAGCAATGTGAGATTTGTGGCCAATGCCTCTAAAGCTTCTTATATGCAAGGATTTAGGATGAGGCCAACAATTTCATCACTGATTTGTAAGGTAACTTCACAATGCCAATGTTCAGTTTTCCCAAACAGTAACACTTTCAGTTAAACTCTACACCAGCTGAAGTCAGGTTAGTCTTGTATCTCTGTACATGTTAAGACTCAATAGATTAAAGGCCAATAGTATTGCATGACTTTCTCATTTCTGTAACCGGTTTGACTAAAAGCACAGGTCAAATAAAATGCAGGCAGACATTTTAGTTTGCATTTGCCTACAAAACATTTAGTCGTCTTCAGTAAAAAAAAAAAAAAAAAACGATTCTCTCTTCCTTATAGGATAACATAACTATTTACAATTGTTTAGCGCCATAAATGTTCTTAGTATTGGTATTTTACAGTTGGTTTTTCAAAGCAAGGACCTTTGGCTTCATTCTGTCTCCATCCAAGTTTAACAACACTTTTTGTATAAACCCAAACATGTTCTTCATGCAATTCGGGTATCCATGTTGGAGTGAGTACATTAGCCCGTACAAACATACAAGTGCATCAGGCCAGCACTGGAAATCCTTCATAACCACCTTCTCTTCAAGGACCACGTAGACTCTTCCTGGATGGAATGGCACAGCAGCTACATCTCCATTGTCATCAATGACTGAGATGATGGCTGCTGGTCTCTTGATGGCTGCTGGTCTCTTGATGGCTGCAGGGTCTTGAGATGTTCCCTCCTGAGAAAGAACATGAAAATATAATTATCATGTCACAATAAACTCTTATGAAGACACACAGGTAGTTTCTCCACTCCTTTATTTTGGGTCAACGAATATTTGAACAACCTCACACACAAACACAACTCACCGTGCATGTTATCAACACTCCAGAGTCATCCTCTTGGATTATTGCTGGAAGACATCTGAGGACAACAGTTCGATCGGAGTTCACATCACGTGGTTGCTACAGAGAAACATTACAAAAATTAACTATACATCTGTGTAAGGGTATCACTGATCTTAAAATGTAACATTTCAATCAATTAATTTGCTTTACATTTTGCTTACTGATTTAATTTATACACCTGGCTGTACAAATTCAGAATGGCAGCTATCTTCTGTCCATTTCTTCCAGTCTTTCCCTGCTTCTCTCTGGGTAGGGCTAGCAAGCGTTCTGTGTGTTGGTCCAACATGGAATAAAAATAATCCCGGAGTTGCTGGTTTGTGATGCGATGGTACTCTGCACATACCTAAAACAAAGTACAAAGGCAATTGAAAACTGATTTACGTCCCCCCCCACCACACACACACACACACACACACACACACACACACACACACACACACACACACACACACACACACACCTGTTCCTCAAGGAATAGTGCTGGCCATCTGTCTTGGATATGCTCTATGGTGGGGCTCAAGGTAACAATCTCTTTACATCTCAATGCAAAGGTCCTACACATGCTGCTGTTGACCAATGATAAGTCAATTTTGTCTTGGTCCGTTTCCTCCAACTCCTCCACAAGGACAACCCTCAACCTCTCCAGACTTTCTTCAGTTTCACCTTGTGGAAGCTGTGGGAGAAAGTTTACTTCTGCTCGTCGAGGCCACTTTATCTTTGAATGTGGCGAGTCGCCATCTGGGCTAATTTTACTTCTCTTGCCACTGTTAACATTCACTTCTGGACACCCTGACTTGCTGAGTTTGCGTCTGAAATTGCCCATTTTGAACACCAAGCTGTCTCTACATCCATCACAGCGACTTTTGGAGCCAGACTCTTCCAGGCATGGATGTTTCTGAACTAACACTTCAGCAGCACTTTTAATCTTCTCGCTGCAAGGGTACGCCTTGTATTCAAATATTGCTCCAGCCATGCCCTCAAGAATCTTAAGTAAGGCGTTTCCCATGCAGCTCTTTAGCTTCATTGCCTTCCCTGAGAGCAAACTCTATGTTGTGTGGAAAGTTGGGAACCACAAACACGTCTGGCCATGCACTTTCCCTTCGGGGTGTTAGGTAGCTGTCGGTCTCTCCACTGTCACTTGTCTCTGCAGAGTTGGAAGTTGAGCTACAGTCTAAGTCCATTACTCTGATAAATTTGACAGTCCCCATGTTTTGTAGTTCATGAATACTGCTCAGATTGCATAGCTGGCCACCAATATCAGGGTCTTCAAACTGGACAAGGACACTGTATGGAATTTCTAATTTTTCACGCAGTAAAGCAGTCAGTTGAGGGACATTATCTGGACGACGGGAGTGTCACCCGTTCAATGCCTCCGTCTCCTAAGTGGACTCTCAGTCTGAAGAGTTCAGACTTGTCAGCCATATCGCTGTAGGACAGAGGAACCAGACTTGTCAGCCATATCGCTGTAGGACAGAGGAACCAGACTTGTCAGCCATATCGCTGTAGGACAGAGGAATCAGACTTGTCAGCCATATCGCTGTAGGACAGAGGAACCAGACTTGTCAGGAAATATCGCTGTAGGACAGAGGAACCAGACTTGTCAGCCATATCGCTGTAGGACAGAGGAATCAGACTTGTCAGCCATATCGCTGTAGGACAGAGGAACCAGACTTGTCAGCCATATCGCTGTAGGACAGAGGAACCAGACTTGTCAGCCATATCGCTGTAGGACAGAGGAACCAGACTTGTCAGCCATATCGCTGTAGGAAAGAGGAACCAGACTTGTCAGCCATATCGCTGTAGGACAGAGGAACCAGACTTGTCAGCCATATCGCTGAAGGAAAGAGGAACCAGACTTGTCAGCCATATCGCTGTAGGACAGAGGAACCAGACTTGTCAGCCATATCGCTGTAGGACAGAGGAGCCAGACTTGTCAGCCATATCGCTGTAGGACAGAGGAACCAGACTTGTCAGCCATGTCGCTGTAGGACAGAGGAACCAGACTTGTCAGCCATATCGCTGTAGGACAGAGGAACCAGACTTGTCAGCCATATCACTGTAGGACAGAGGAACCAGACTTGTCAGCCATATCGCTGTAGGACAGAGGAACCAGACTTGTCAGCCATATCGCTGTAGGAAAGAGGAACCAGACTTGTCAGCCATATCGCTGTAGGACAGAGGAACCAGACTTGTCAGCCATATCGCTGTAGGAAAGAGGAACCAGACTTGTCAGCCATATCGCTGTAGGACAGAGGAACCAGACTTGTCAGCCATATCGCTGTAGGACAGAGGAACCAGACTTGTCAGCCATATCGCTGTAGGACAGAGGAATCAGACTTGTCAGCCATATCGCTGTAGGACAGAGGAACCAGACTTGTCAGCCATGTCACTGTAGGACAGAGGAACCAGACTTGTCAGCCATATCGCTGTAGGACAGAGGAATCAGACTTGTCAGCCATATCGCTGTAGGACAGAGGAACCAGACTTGTCAGCCATATCGCTGTAGGACAGAGGAACCAGACTTGTCAGCCATATCGCTGTAGGACAGAGGAACCAGACTTGTCAGCCATATCGCTGTAGGACAGAGGAACCAGACTTGTCAGCCATATCGCTGTAGGAAAGAGGAACCAGACTTGTCAGCCATATCGCTGTAGGACAGAGGAACCAGACTTGTCAGCCATATCGCTGTAGGAAAGAGGAACCAGACTTGTCAGCCATATTGCTGTAGGACAGAGGAACCAGACTTGTCAGCCATATCGCTGTAGGACAGAGGAACCAGACTTGTCAGCCATATCGCTGTAGGACAGAGGAACCAGACTTGTCAGCCATATCGCTGTAGGACAGAGGAATCAGACTTGTCAGCCATATCGCTGTAGGACAGAGGAACCAGACTTGTCAGCCATGTCACTGTAGGACAGAGGAACCAGACTTGTCAGCCATATCGCTGTAGGACAGAGGAACCAGACTTGTCAGCCATATCGCTGTAGGACAGAGGAATCAGACTTGTCAGCCATATCGCTGTAGGACAGAGGAACCAGACTTACATTTACATTTACATTTACGTCATTTAGCAGATGCTCTTATCCAGAGCGACTTACAAATAGGTGCATTCACCTTATAGCCAGTGGGATAACCACTGGCTATAAACCTATGGGGGGTTGGAGTAATGGGGGGGGGGGGGGGGGGGGTAGAAGGATTACTTTATCCTATCCCAGGTATTCCTTAAAGAGGTCGGGTTTCAAATGTCTCCGGAAGGTGGTGAGTGACTCCGCTGTCCTGGCGTCATGAGGGAGCTTGTTCCACCATTGGGGTGCCAGAGCAGCGAACAGTTTTGACTGGGCTGAGTGGGAACTATGCTTCTGCAGAGGTAGGGGAGCCAGCAGGCCAGAGGTGGATGAACGCAGTGCCCTCGTTTGGTTGTAGGGACTGTTCAGAGCCTGAAGGTACGGAGGTGCCGTTCCCCTCACAGCTCCGTAGGCAAGCACCATGGTCTTGTAGCAGATGCGAGCTTCAACTGGAAGCCAGTGGAGTGTGCGGAGGAGCGGGGTGACGTGAGAGAACTAGGGAAGGTTGATCACCAGACGGGCTGCGGCATTCTGGATGAGTTGTAGGGGTTTAATGGCAAAGGCAGGGAGCCCAGCCAACAGCGAGTTGCAGTAATCCAGACGGGAGATGACAAGTGCCTGGATTAGGACCTATGCCGCTTCCTGTGTAAGGCAGAGTCGTACTCTCCGAATGTTGTAGAGCATGAACCTACAGGATCGGGTCACCGCCTTGATGTTAGCGGAGAACGACAGGGTGTTGTCCAGGGTCACGCCAAGGCTCTTCGCACTCTGGGAGGAGGACACAACGGAGTTGTCAACCGTGATGGCGAGATCATGGAACAGGCAGTCCTTCCCCGGGAGGAAGAGCAGCTCCGTCTTGCCAAGGTTCAGCTTGAGGTGGTGATCCGTCATCCATACTGATATGTCTGCCAGACATGCAGAGATGCGATTCGCCACCTGGTTATCAGAAGGGGGAAAGGAGAAGATTAGTTGTGTGTCGTCTGCGTAGCAATGATAGGAGAGGCCATGTGAGGATATGACAGAGCCAAGTGACTTGGTGTATAGCGAGAATAGGAGAGGGCCTAGAACTGAGCCCTGGGGGACACCAGTGGTGAGAGCACGTGGTGCGGAGACAGCTTCTCGCCACGCCAATTGGTAGGAGCGACCGGTCAGGTAGGACGCAATCCAAGAGTGAGCCGCGCCGTAGATGCCCAGCTCGTAGAGGGTGGAGAGGAGGATCTGATTGTTCACAGTATCAAAGGCAGCAGACAGGTCTAGAAGGACAAGAGCAGAGGAGAGAGAGTTAGCTTTAGCAGTGCGGAGAGCCTCCGTAACACAGAGAAGAGCAGTCTCAGTTGAATGACCAGTCTTGAAACCTGACTGGTTTGGATCAAGAAGGTCATTCTGAGAGAGATAGCAAGAGAGTTGGCTAAAGACGGCACGCTCAATAGTTTTGGAGAGAAAAGAAAGAAGGGATACTGGTCTGTAGTTGTTGACATCAGAGGGATCGAGTGTTGGTTTTTTGAGAAGGGGTGCAACTCTCGCTCTCTTGAAGATGGAAGGGACATAGCCAGCGGTCAAGGATGAGTTGATCAGCGAGGTGAGGTAAGGGAGAAGGTCACTGGAGATGGTCTGGAGAAGAGAGGAGGGGATAGGGTCAAGCGGGCAGGTTGTTGAGCGGCCTGCCGTCACAAGTCGCAAGATTTTATCTGGAGAGAGAGGGGAGAAAGAAGTCAAAGCATAGGGTAGGGCAGTGTGAGCAGGACCAGCAGTGTCATTTGACTTAACAAACGAGGATCGGATGTCGTCAACCTTCTTTTCAAAATGGTTGACGAAGTCATCCACAGAGAGGGAGGGAGGGAGGGGGGGGGGAGTATTCAGCAGGGAGGAGAATGTGGCAAAGAGCTTCTTAGGGTTAGAGGCAGATGCTTGGAATTTAGAGTGGTAGAAAGTGGCCTTAGCAGCAGAAACAGATGAAGAAAATGTAGAGAGGAGGGAGTGAAAAGATGCCAGGTCTGCAGGGAGTCTAGTTTTCTTCCATTTCCGCTCAGCTGCCCGGAGCTCTGTTCTGTGAGCTCGCAATGAGTCATCAAGCCACGGAGCTGGAGGGGAGGACCGAGCCGGCCGGGAGGATAGGGGACATAGAGAGTCAAAGGATGCAGAAAGGGAGGAGAGGAGGGTTGAGGAGGCAGAATCAGGAGATTGGAGGGAGAAGGATTGAGCAGAGGGAAGAGATGATAGGATGGGAGAGAGAGAGCGAAGGTTGCGACGGCGCATTACCATCTGTGTAGGGGCAGAGTGAGTAGTGTTGGAGGAGAGCGAGAGAGAAAAGGATACAAAGTAGTGGTCGGAGACATGGAGGGGAGTTGCAGTGAGATTAGTAGAAGAACAGCATTTAGTAAAGATGAGGTCAAGCGTTTTGCATGCCTTGTGAGTAGGGGGGGATGGTGAGAGGGTGAGGTCAAAAGAGGAGAGGAGTGGAAAGAAGGAGGCAGAGAGAAATGAGTCAAAGGTAGACGTAGGGAGGTTGAAGTCCCCCAGAACTGTGAGGGATGAGCCATCCTCAGGAAAGGAACTTATCAAGGCGTCAAGCTCATTGATGAACTCTCCAAGGGAACCTGGAGGGCGATAGATGACAAGGATATTAAGCTTAAATGGGCTAGTGACTGTGACAGCATGGAATTCAAATGAGGAGATAGACAGATGGGTCAGGGGAAAAATAGAGAATGTCCATTTGCGAGAGACGAGGATTCCTGTGCCACCACCCCGCTGACCAGATGCTCTCGGGGTATGCGAGAACACATGGTCAGACGAGGAGAGAGCAGTAGGAGTAGCAGTGTTTTCAGTGGTAATCCATGTTTCCGTCAGCGCCAAGAAGTCGAGGGACTGGAGGGTAGCATAGGCTGAGATGAACTCTGCCTTGTTGGCAGCAGAACGGCAGTTCCAGAGGCTGCCTGATACCTGGAACTCCAGGTGTGTG